TTTTTTGCCAATTGGCTTCAATAACCCGAGTTTGATCAAGGGCTATAAATTGTGAATGCCACTTAGAAATTCAAGAGGCAATTTATTCAACGTATCACATGAAGCTCATGCAAAATAGGAAACACAAGGCGAATATTTACGTAATGGTCCTCAAATTCACCAGAACTGGCCGAGTTAATATTTATTATTAATTCACGTCAAAAGGGGTGTGCGATAGACTTACAACCACGTGACGCATCCTGGACAACGTATACACATGTGGTAAAAAAGTCTATCACTCGGTTGTTGACTTCTGACCTCAAACTACCATGACCCGACCGTATGCGTATTCGACCCCTTTCATAGTACTCACTTTACCTTTTCTCTGCCTGTGTCTGTCTGTCTGTCTCTTCTACATCTGTGAATCACACTTCTGTTCTCCCTCTCAAATTTGTCTCACTCTGATTCCCCCCCCCCCCTCTATGAAGCCCGAAGTCAACCAAAGGACTAATGATAACTATCAAAACGTCTGCCATTCCGATGGAACTCATTTCAAATTTACATGCTTCTTGCACATCCGGATGAAGGCCTTTTGACAAATTTCGTTAAATTCAATCCCTAAATTTATATGCGCACATAGAAAAGGGTAGAATTTTCGTCTACTCCTCATTGACCCCATTTCGGTGAGTTTCGGTGTCCGCTTTACTGTCATTAACTTTAAAATAAGCCATATGCATTTATTTTATCTATTAAAAGGGCAATTTATTCCAGATCGATAAACATGGCTCCGAATACCAAGGTCAAATAGCATTACGCATACCATTGAGGTCTAAGGTCATAAGAGGTCAAATAAATATTAGGTTAGTGAAAAAGGGTACTTAGGGCATTTGCGATAATATTTCATCATTGACATTTCAAAACATTTCCCCGGATTGAGGAAATATAACAGCACACACACACTACTTGAGCAAATCGAACGTGCCAAACCATTTTTATCAAACCCAGTAGGCGGGCATTCAGTTAACAGATTTTAAAGGAATTCGGTGGACAATGAGGTTGTTGTATTTTGAAAATGTTTAGTCCGAATAAGAGTGTGCGCGATAGACTTACCTCATTTTTGCGTAGTTTAATGACAATATGCCCTCCGCCCAAAGATGCAATTCGTAAAGTTGGAGAACGAGAAATAAATCCTTGAAAATAACGTTCCTAGTTCTTGACTTAGGACCAATGGTCTGCTTGATGATTTCATGGGTGAACTGTCATTAACAAGCCAAAACTCCAATTCAGCCTCATGGTCTTCTCGCTCACCAAAAGGAGTTGTGAATATATTCAAAGAAATTAACCACGTAACTGTTTCCAATGGTTTCAGTTAGACGATATTGATAATCGGCTTGAAATCGCCATTTGTGCAAAAAAATCAGTTATCGCCAGTAAAATCCAACGGAACGTTCATTACAATTCTTCCAACCGACGCTTCCTCCTCTCCCAACGGCACTCAATCCTCTGGATCACCACCACCATCACTGTGGTCGCTAACCGTAGCTACAACATGTTGAGAAGTGCATATCTTCCATATTTCATATTTTAGAAATTCCCGCTAATAGACATTTCAGGCATGCATAAAACTCACAAATTCGATTAAACACCCAACTACCCCCCCCCCTCCCACACAAGTACAATTTAAGAGGCAATTTACAAAGCAACATCAAATATTATTTAAATATCAAAATCCTCATTTGCCATACACGACAATGTGCTGCTTCAAGCTCCACCGCCTAGATCTTTTACACTAATGCTGATGATACTGATGTCGTCTAGTGGTTTGTCATTCTTCGCATTCGTCTTCACATTCGATATCTTCTGCACCACATCCATTCCCTTCATCACGCGTCCAAATACAGTGTGCTTGTTGTCCAGCCAGGGCTAAATGGGAAGAGGGGGTGGGGGAGGGAGAGAGAGATTAAACTCGGGTAATGTATGCGACATCTAGAGATAAGGGTAGTTATGACATACCGTAGGGGCGACAGTGATGAAAAACTGTGATCCGTTGGTATTTGGGCCGGCGTTAGCCATACTGACTGTGTAGGGACGATCATGTCTCAAACTGGGATGGAACTCATCTTCGAATTCACCTCCCCAAATCGACTTTCCTCCGGTACCAGTACCTACAATGTTTTGGAATTCTCTTTAAACTTGCAGAATTTGAAATGCACGCCTTCGACTGCCGACGAGAAGGTAAGTGGGAAGCAATCGACAACCAATACTAATCCCCTTCAATCAAGTTGTCAAAAATGATATCGAGCAGGCATTAACTCATTTAATCTCCTGAAGGTGGTAAGGGTGAGGAAATATCATGAACTTGGAAGAAATGAATGCAAACCTATATTTAAAACATTATGCTAAGATAGTATGTGAATTTGAAGTGAGAACGTTAAATATATCAAAAAAGGTAACAGTGAGTGAAATCATATCCAATACAAGATTTAAATTACCATTCCGGCATTCAGAAGAGGAATGTGGGATAGACTTAACTCCACGTGGTGCACCCTGGCCAACGTATACTCACATACGGCAAATAATTCTATAAACTGGCAGTTGACTTCAAAGTACCATGACTCAACAGCATGGCATATTCGACCACTTTCACAGTACTCACCTCATCTTTCCTTTTTCTCAACCTTTATGTCTGCCTCGTTAACATCTAAAAATCACTCTTCTGTTCCCCCCCCCCCATCTATGAAGCCCGAAATCAACTAAAGGACTAATGCTAATTATTACGAAATCTTGCATCTTATGCAAATAAATATTCGGAAGAAAGTAATTCCAGTCTCAACTCCGCGGCGATAGAAGGAAAAAACCCTTTTGACAAGGCCTTTCGACTAAAGTCCCTACTCATTCATAGTCTACTCAGGCGATTGTAACTAGTAAAAAGACGTTATGAGAAAGGAATATCCAAGAGTTGTCATAGTTGGATCAGAATTAGCTCGTGCCTAGATAAGTATTGATCTTACGACCTCTGACCAAATAGGCTAGCATACACTGACTATAGCGCCCCGAAGGACCAAAAAACGTAAATTGAGATCACATACCAAGAGGACAGCCCGTCTGAATCATAAATCCTTTGATCACTCGATGGAAGATGTGACCATTGTAGTAACCCGCTCGAGCATGTCCAACAAAATTTTCAATAGTTCTTGGACACTCACGCGGCCAGAGACGGATATGAATGTCTCCGAGGGAGGTGTGGAGAATAGCGGATCCAGCCAGTCGAAGAGATGCCGAGGTTGCAGCTGCAGCAGCCGAATCACGTGAAGCAGCAAGGACCTCCTCCTTTGTAGGTTTCTCGTTGAAGACATCACGTTCGCTTGTCGATCCGGCTGCAACCGTGTCACCACTAGAAAAAAATGCTTGTAACAGTTTCGGCTATAGTGTGCTCTCAATTGCACTCATTGTCTTCTTGACTTAGCAAAGACTATTTAATATTTTTAAAAATCAAGAAGGGAACAACTCTACATCGATCAGCTTTTAAAGTATCTCAACATACTGGATTTAGGGCTAAACCTATTTTACACGATATATATATATATATATATATACGTAATCCATCAACAATAGATTCGTTTCCAAAACTATGGGACTTTAAACATTTTTGCTAGAACATAAGTAGCATTTGAAACCAGCTATTTCTGGATGAAGCTCAGCTTACTCAGATTTGATTTCATGTGGTTCACGATTAGTGAACAGATAGACTCGATTCTTCTTAAATGCCGTACACACGATAACAGGGTCTCTCGAGGGCTGTTGATTAGACGATCTTTCCCCACCACTTGACCCTGACTGACCACCCGAAGCAGCATTATCAGGAGCGCCCCCTAAAGCGGCATGCATTTCAAGGGAAGCGGTGGCAGAATCAAGACCCAACAGGGCCATGGAAGTAGAACTTTGAAGTACGGCAGCACGAGCTGGAAGAAGTGCTACTTGAAGGAAACGCAAATTTTCGGGACCACCAAGACAACGAACTAGACGATTAGTTACGAGATTGACTACCCGAATACCCAGGAGGGTGGTGTATATGAGGAAATTGCCCGAGGAATCAAATTCTACAAGAACGAGGAGACATTGCCATTAGGGAATACTGCTTAAAAATAACATTGATGCATTTAAAGTACATATCAACCGATCTCATAGCCTAGTTATGAAAAAAGATGATTAAGTACACCATCAAATATCAATAAGTAAGATGATGAGGATACCAGCAAATATAATGAGCATATACCACACTATTGTCATGATTATTTAAGAGAGCAATTTAAAATGATTACATAAAGCTAAGATGCAGTACGGTACGAATTCGTTTTCTTAAAACTAATGCTCATTCTAAGATAACTCAATAAGCAAAAATATAATTGGAAATCCAAAACTCAATTATTATTTTCTAGATGTGAGTATCTCGAAAAAAGTGTAAAAAAATGATCTAACCCAAATTGCACATGTGAGTCCCATCAGATCGATCTAATTCCTTCTCCAGGGCCAATCGACGTCCAAATTCCATGCTTGGCAGGAGTTGTTTTGTAGACTGCATCTCTGAATACCGTTGAACACTTTCATCATACACCAGCATTAGTTTTGCTGTGAGAGTCTTGAAAATTCTGATCTAAAACCACCAACAGAAATTATAGATAAAATGGAGTTTGCTTGAGAATGGAAAAAATGGAGCAAAAATTGAAAATACTTTCCGATCGGCTCCAAAGCATGCCAACAATTTGCCCCCATTCGGTGAGAAGGCGAGGCTAACTGCGTTGGTTTTATCTTTCAAAAGGCAGTACAAATCCGTGTCCATCTTGGATGTCCATTTCGCAGAAGGAGGTCGTTGAATTGCATCAAAACCGTGGCGCTGAGTTGACCAGAATTCTAGCATTCCTTCGGTGTCTGCACTCACTACTGTCTCGAGTTCTGGACAAAACTGAAAGAAGGAGGCCATTCTATTAATAGGCTAGATCATTGAGAGAGGCACTTTAGTGTCGTATGCCTTACAGCAATTGCAATGACTGGACTAGCATGGAGTCTATCAAGAGTTTTCAAGAGAGTATCCTTTGTGCGAGCATCGTAAATGTGGATAGCACCGCTATCTCGATCCGCTCTAAAATAAATAATCAAGAGAGATTTGATAAGTGGACTTACATTGCAATAGCAGCGCAACCGTCTTGAGAGGTGTAAACAAAACAGCATTCCCGAGGAACAAATGACAATTTCATCATGCTAATCATATCTATAAGAAAAGATAGAAGTAATAGCACTTGTTTATACGAATCATATCTTTAAATAGTACGAGTCGAATGTACCAAAATTGATGACATCGAATATTTTAGCAGTTTTGTCATCACCAACAGTACAAGCAAGTTCACCATCATGGCTAACAGCCAATCCTATAATGGCACCTAGAACAAAATCGACACGATATACATTACTTAAATAGAGAATAGTAGCAATATCAATCGGCGAAAACTCACCCAAGTGAGCCCGGTAATGCTTGACAAACTCCAAACCACGAGTGGTTGCAAGACGCCAGAATTTGAGATGACCGTCACAGCTGCAGGTAATAAGATAGTGAGTCCTAAAAAGGAAAAACACTACTTAAATGCTTTAAATAAGTAGAGTATAATTTGAGGGATGAAAAGATACTTAGAGTAGGCCAGGTGGGTGATCGCGTTGCGGTGCATGTAGCTAATTTCATAGTACTGAGCGGAAGGGATGCTTTGAAGCAGAATTTTCTCATCCTTTAGAACTGTTGCAAAATAAAAGAAAAAAAGACAAAATACGATGAATTTCCATTATTAGAAAATTTATACTTTTTCGAGGCCCTTTTCTCTGCATTATTATTATTATTATCACTATAATAATAATAATTGTTATTAGGGGACAAGACGACAAAACAGAATAGAAGAAGCCAGTGTGCGTGTGAGTACTTCAATGCCACAAAATGGAAAAAGACAGACGGCAGCAGAAAATGTTTATCTTGAGAGACGAGGAAGCATGATGAAGCTCAAAAGAACAAAGTCTATATTTCTTATTTCAAATGGCAGGCCTTTTGATAGCTATCATTAGCCGTTTGGCTGACTTCGGGCTTCACAGAGGGAAGGTTTATCAAAGTAGCAGAAAGTCGAGGGGTGGGGAATAGAAGAGCGATTCACAGATGTAAAAGAGGCAGACAGACACAACGGTAGGGAAAAAGGTAAGATGAGTACTGAGGAAGGGGTCGAATATGACAAGCAGTTGGGCCATGGTATTTTGAAGTCAGAAGTCAAATGTCGGTTAATAGACTTTTTTGCCGTATGAGTATACGTTGCCCAGGGTGCACCACGTGGAGGTAAGTCTATCGCGCACCCCATACCACGACCATACCACGTAGAAAGCACCGGTTCTCGTCCGATCACCGAAGTTAAACTACGTCGGGCCGGGTTAGTACTTGCATGGTTGACCGGGTGGGAATACCCGGTGTTGCTGACTTCTTTCGCCGGTGGTTCAGTGGTAGAATGCTCGCCTGCCAAAAGAACGAGGTAAAGATCAATAAATCTATTAATAGCCAAGGAACCAGTAACACAGAGCAATGCACGAAAAGGTAGACAACTGAGCAAAAATCGATAACCAAACCACGATACCAGTTCAAATGAACATGGATGTGGCCTTTTCGGGGGGCAAGTAGACTCTCTCTCTTGAAACAAAGCATCGTAGCTCTTGCTTCTAAGAGACGATTGAAACGAGAAGCCACATCTAATAACTCAAAGTTATAAAAAATTCAAAAAGCTTCAACCATTGTGTGGGCAAATTCAGCCAGAAACGTAAAGATTGGAAAAATCAATTTAAACTCTGGAGCACAGCAAATTGAAGTCATTAATGAAACGAGAATTGGGACTCTTTTGATACGCCAACGTTGATTTTCTTTCTACTCTACTCTCGATCATTATGAGACTATTTAAAAGTTTATTTCATACAGTTAAAACATATAAACAATTTTGAAGTAATCATGGCCTCTATTGATTAGCTACAACAAGCAAATGAACCAGTACCACACCAGAGGCCTCGCGAGATCGATACTCATCAAGTGACGTGTGTTACCGACTCCACCAACTGTGATCAAAAATGAGGAGTAGAAATGCCCGTAAGATATCTTGCTTTCAGTCCTCACCTATAAAAATGGAGAATTTTAATTAAACACCCACCTTTCTTTTTGGGTGGTTCTGCTGTAGGATCTTCCATCATTGTTGGCAAAGGACCGACAATATCGTCGTCATCATCATCATCACCACCACCACCGCCGCCATTAGTATCGTCTTCATGGCGTCTTTTATGATTGCCTTCTGTATCATCATTTCCATCCTCATTATTCGCCATCATTTCCGAGGGTAGTGGACCAACTGAATCATCTTCTCTCTCCCGTCCTTTCACTTCAGCAGGCACCACCACACACGCGGTCTCTTCTGAATCTGTCATCTGGCTGTGGCAAAATAGATAATTTAATTGATTAGATGCATTAGATTGACCTAGATCACACGCAAACTAATTGCACCATTCGATTTGAAGGTAGAGTCTACCGGTCGATGACACAAACTCCATGCAGTCAATGTACGCTTTCTCCTATTAACTGAACTAGAATTAAAATGAGACCATGAAGGCACACACAGATGTAAGCCATCCTTCTTAGGAAGTATATCCATAGTAAGGCTTAGGCAGTCACCAAATCTGTAATGAGGATAGCAACCTTTAAAATGTCCCCTTCAGGCATCGACCTCCGAATTCTGAGCACATTACACTCATAGCCTTTCTTCTACCTCGACCCCTTTTGGCGTTTGATTTTTTCGCCCCCTGTTGTATTTGGGCGCAATTTTATTGATAGCTGATCTGAGTATCCCCATTTCCTCAGGCCATTTGGAAGGCATAATTCCCATTTTGGAGAAATAAGTGGGGGACATATTGGTCACCCATATGGCGTTCTAAAACACTGACCTCATTTTACCCGCATTTAGCAACCGGAATCAAGACAAAAATTGTTAAAACGCGTAATCAACTTTGAAAAGGCAGCAAAGATGTTGGTATCTAATCAAAACATTAAGTAGGAGCATGCATATTAACCTAATAAGAGCAAGGGAATAGTAAATAAAACAAAGACCACCATATATACTCTACTGGGAAAAAAGTCCAATTTCTAAGCGGCTTTTGAGTCACAAACAAAGCATGACGCGAAAGTAGCATAACGGCAACGCAAAATGAATGCATTATCAAAAATGATATTTATTGCTAAACAGTTTAAAAGTACAAAGTATAGGGAAAAGAAGAAAGCATATAGGAAAAAATATGTAAAGGTGGTCACATCACCCATCTACTTTTCGCGAATATCACTTCACTACGCCACTCAGTCAAAAGGAGACAAATACCAGAATAAATTGAAAGGAGTACAAATTGGCACAAATTTGAAAACCAAGCCGGATAAGTGTCTAAAAACGCCAGACTACCAAAGAGGCAAGTTTGTACACTGGTAATCAAATTAGCCACTAGGAAGTAAAGATTCCCATGATCGGCAATCTTGGTGAAGAATGAAATTAGATCTGTAAACAAAATGCATTTCTATTTAAACCGAGTCAGTAGTTAGTTTAGAATGTAATAATGAGTTTGCCTCCAGATAGGCGTTTTGGGACAGGGGTAGTGAATGAGCAAAAGGAGGTGCTAAAAGACCTACCTGTAAAAGAAAGAAAATTCCATCTGAAGTCAAAATAAAACATGATGAAGTTATATCAAAGACTACCTGAAGAGCAATGTAGGGAGGGTTAACAAGACGACGGGAAATAGTGTCTTCGCCACAGGCCACAAAAATTAAAATCATTAGAGTGGAGAACACTGCAACTCCGACTTTTTTGAGTCTACGAACCTACAAAATAAGAAGGAATATAAAGAAACATTGTGTTATACAATTAGTCACAAACTAATAACTGTCAAGGCGATTTAGTTAGGCTCGTCTCAAATGTGACCTTTAGTAGAGGGGTAGCATCGTGAAGACAACATAGTAAGAAATTCAAACCCCGACATTGCCACCTTACTAATAAGACTTTATTAGTATGTCTGATCATTCCGTTCACTGGATGTGCATCGATAGACACCGAAACCGTAATTTTCGTCGTCGGTGGCGCATATGCAGGTACACAGGAAAAAGGATACAGGGACTCGTAAACCGATCACTGCACAGGTTTAACTCCCATAATAAAGCGTATGCAATGCCATGTATATTGTAAATTAAGCGCTGAAAATCCCAGAAAAGTCAATTCCAAATTAAAAAACTCTACAGACCAATTTATAGAGGAATAAGAACGATAGGAACGAAATTGAGTTGCCAGTAACTTGTCAATCAGAGTCCTCTATATCTTTCGAGGAGAGAGTAGTGTCAACTTAAATCATTTAAACCTATGCAGTAGGAGAAATTGATTTTCTACTGCTGTTGTGTAATTAGATAGTAATAAAATAGAAATAATAGCAAAGCCTTCATTTATGAGATCAGATATTTAGTACACCTTTTCATAAATCGCGATCACAACTAAAGAATAACAGGACTTGAATTATACGACATCTTAGAATCCGAAGGAGAGACACCAATTCCAACTATACAAATAATATTTTGAACTGATCCGCCTTCTTTTGATCAAAAATTCCACTTAAAAATACTCACGAATGATAAACAGATGGCAACAAATTCAATTTCATTGAAAAAGTCAAACAAAATAAAATGCATTATACATCCGTTTAAGTAGATTCATAAAGTTCACAATTTTCCTCCTGATATAATATTACATTAAACAGCAAACACGATAAATGCCATTACTTTTTGACATGTCTACAAAGAATCTTCAATTTTTCCTGAGACCGGACCGATTTCTTTAGGGGTTCGAGATGTAGACGTATAGTAATACCGAGAGCGTTTGCGTCGAGGCAGATACTGAGATAACTAGGCAGAGATCAAAGTTTCCTGTTTGAGAAGGACGGGAGAGAGATGCTTATTAGAATTTCTGTGGATTATTACTACACATAATGAAGAAAGTCAATTCATTATTTCAGGAAGGTGATAGATAAGAAGACTAGTTGTAAGTAAGCTGAAATCAAATTTGGCTGAAGCCAACCAAATATCTAAAGTGTCAGCGCTTGGAAAGAAGAAAAATTAGAACAAACTAAATGACGGAATATTTGATAATAAGGAAAAGAGAAAAATACAAACGCTAAGACTGCGATAACCATATGCCCTGAAATAAATCATAGATTGCAACGAGAGTCGATGAACTTATAGCAAATCCACTAGATCAAAAATAAGCCTTCGGTGTAGATAAAACAAAAAAGCATTCAAATGGGAAATAATACGGGTTTGGAGTAACAGAATAAGATCTCACTTCGTATTTGGCAAGTTCCCAAAAAAACTGTTGTTCGCTTTCCATTCTATTGTAACCAATATAACGGGTTATGAGCATCAAGCACATAAGTCCAACAGAAGTCATACCCGTGTGACCACTAATAAATTCGAAACGTCCTTTTGCACTATCGAGAGCAGTTGGAAGTCAATAGACAGCATAATTTTTTACTTGCAAAACTAAAAGGGCGTATATCAATCCAATATAGTTTAAAATTATCAAACGATACACATCGCTTTCATTTAGCACAACATAATGTCAAGAAGTGTGGTTCATGTAGGTTAAGAAGATGGTGTTAGGTCAAGGAATTATTTGCGTCATTTTAGTCACATTTATTGAAATAAATTTATAACTCAGTGACTAGTACAGTGAAATATATTTTGAAATTATTATTAACAGAACAATTTTTTTATTAATTAATGATGCTTATAATGACATTTAACAATTGAGTCTCTTGGTACAATTTCCCCACTGTATTATATTTAAGTGGATTTAAATTTCCTTAATATATTATTTCCTTAAATAGTTTAAGAAATTTAATGCCAAGCGCACATTTACTCGTCATTTATCGGCTCATCATTAATAGAATACCAATCAATACCTTTCTTTAGTTACTACAGGAAACAGTTGAAAACGTCGAGTATTGTTTGTACGCAAAGCATCATCCAGCACTTAAATCCGGCAGATTTACAGAGAACCATCTTTGGGGACTTCGCTAGAGCTATGTGCATCTCCAAAGAGGGAAATGTTGTGAAGTACGGCAACTTAATTTATTTAAGAAGGAACATTAGGAAAAATAAAATTTCTTTTAATCTCTTGGCCTTTTAGTGAGAAGGTATTTGCAATAATATCTTTACGAACTGCAAAACATTTAGGTGTATGTGAAAAGTTTCAGACTAATTGAATTTTATTCATTGAATTATTAATCATAATAACACTCCATTGGCATGAAATAAATTTCAAGAATTTCTTCTTAACCTCCTTAATTTATCTCATATTATCCACATAAGCATAGGATATATATATATATATATATATATGATTTTACCTCAAAATTCTCAAAGTATAATTATAATTTGCTTAAAAGTAGTGTGATGCATGGATAAGCTGCCATATTTTTAATAGTCTTTTGTTTGCAGACTACAAAGTGAGTTTCAGAATAAGCATTTTCAGCAATGAGTCCTACATGTAAAAATACTGACTATTATGAAGCATAAAATTGCTAGTTCTAGACTCATGAAAAAGTCTTTAAATGATTTTCTGCCCAAAAATTCCGTTCTTGATACTTTGAATGACACCAATAACAGCTTAACAGACTATCCCGTAATCGTATGGTAAATGAATACGGTGCGCATTTCCAATTGCTCATCATTCTATCACTGTAAAATTTATATCTACTTCATAAGCCTTATTTAAATCCACTCATGAGCCAATTAGCACAATTGATTAATGCATTTAACTAAAAAGGCTTTTCAAAAGCCATTTATCTTCTTCAACAAAGAAAAGTTCCAATATCCGAACCAGTGACGAAGCTAAGGAATGAAGAAAATGAACTCTTAAATATAAGGCCTCGGAAATTGTCCAAATTTAAAATCTGCCACGTAACATGTGAGCCGCCTTCATTAGCCTTTATTCGTTAAAGCCTAATGTAAGGCATGCATGTGAAAATGGGCAGTCTTCAGCAGTGGATGCATAATCATTGAAAGGTGCCTTTAGGGCTCTGTATAATGATAGCAAATCCAGTTAAATGTGGTATTTAGCTGTCAAATGGTTGTTTAAACTTTGCAGGCAAATAAATAACGTTTATAAGCTATCAGGAAAAAATGGAAGTACGCAAAATAGATTACAAAGCAAAGACGACTTTATACGATTTCCCATTGCTTGTCCCGTTCTAAATCACTGAAATCCTATAACAAGCCAGGTAGAACACCAAATCTACGGTAAGGAAGTATCAAAAATTGCTTCGCAGCATTCCAAAAATACACAAAAAAGAAAGACAAAACTAACGAAGTCAAATAAGAAAAGAGTGAAAATAAACAAGAAAAAACCGAGCAGGTCTGAGCAGTTTACTGTAGAATCAAATCGATTTCTTATCGATCATTCTCCCTCTTTTGAGCAAGAGCCCACTAAGCCATTCCGCTAGTAGTGGGCAGATTCCAGCATACATTGAAAGCAATAAAAACTGGCACAAATTTGAGAACCAAATCGGTTTCACCTCCAAAAACACCAAACTGTCGAATGAGAAATTCAATCCACCGGTAATTAAATTGGCTACCAGGAAGTACACTGTACCATGATCGGCAATTTTGGCGTAGAATGGAATGAAATCTGAAAAAAACGATGCAATCTTACGCATATTCATTTCAGTGAAATTGTTTTAATACCGAGAGGCAAATGTACACGCACCCTTACGACCGTTGCGAGGAGAGACGGGTATGGTGAATGAGTGATAAATGGCTAGTGCAAAAGGAGGAGCTAGAAGACCAATCTGCAAGAAAATTCAGGAAGTACTTCAAGGAAATTGCAGTAACAGTTTGGCCAAAAAACTTGCAAGGAAGGAGAAAGCGATTACCTGAAGAGCAATGTAGGGGAGGTTCACAAGACGACGAGAAACACTACTTTCACCATAAGCCTCCACGATAAGAAACGCAGGAATAGAGATGCAAAACACAGCAGCGGACACCTTCTTAGGGCTGCCAAACCTAGAGGATGGAGGAGAAAAGTAATGAACAGAAATTAAGGCAGTAAACGCAATAAAGGGGGA